TATGCGACACTCTCGGATTTCCTCAACAAGGGTTACTATAGAGGTTCTATAATATGGGGGCCGCTTTGGTTTCTTGGGGGGCCGCAGAAAGGGTTTAGGGTTTAGGTTTGGGGGGCTAGGCTGTTTAGGGTTTTACTGTTTGGTTGTTTTTGTTTCTTAGGGGTGTAGGGTTTGGGGTGTGGGGTTCAGGGTGGTTGTGGTTGGGTTTAGGGTTCAGGGTGGTTTTTTTTGAGTTTCAGGATCGGGCTGTAGGGCCAATGTCTCCGAAAAGGGCGTTGGTGACACATTCTACTGTACAGGGATATTGTTACTTGTTCTAGGGATTTTACGTATGAGTTATGATGCTTTGGTCCTTCAGTGTGTTAGGTTGCACAAGGCTTTGTTGAGGTTCTGTTTGGGTCATACAGGTGTTCGCGCTTGTTTCCCGTAGTCGTAGTAATCGTGATGATAAGAAGTGTCGCCCGGTTGTGTAGTTCTCTAAATTTGGGTCCGCCTTAGGGTCCTTCTTATAAGTTCGCCGTAAAAAACGGGACCCCAATGTAGAGAACTACCCTATATATATATATATGTATATATATGTTGATGACATCTTACTAAGCCCAAGTGTGTTGTGGAGAGCGTCTCAAACAAAGCTCGAAATCCCAAAGCCTAAACTCGATACCATAGGGCCTCAACAATTGCCTACACTATTTTCGGTGTTTTGCAGTGCACTTATAGTATAATGTACCCCAAGACAATATTCTACGCATTACGGCCCCTCCACTACTCTACTTCGTACTAGGGCTCCACCGACCTTAATCTAGAGAGTGATGCAGTTTCGAGGCTAGATTCCTCGAGGCTTCAATTTTGACTTGGACCCTACCGTCCTAAGTCGTATAGATAAGTGGAAACATGCCATGTACGGGCCGTAATAAGTAGAATCGGGGGTTGTGGTCTAATTAGAACAAGCAAGCAAGGGGCAATGACACCGGCCGTACTGTTTGCTACAAGTTCCGTCAGCCCCAAACAAGCCATGCCCTACATCGTCCCACCTACCGAAAGCCTGAAGCCTGCAAACTCCTCCACTTTGTGTGCTGGATGCTGACATGTGCCGCTGTAGCACCCGACAGTTAAAATAAGGAATCCTGAGGCAGAATACAGATAATTATTTTGGCTTCTTTCTTCCTAAACCCAACCCTAAACCCTCCAACCTTAGACCCTGAACCTCAAGTCGGTGTGAATCAGAATCAGAAAGATGCCAATTTCGAGCATCCGAGACCCCCAAATTTTAACACCTAAGAGCGACAGCTGATAGCTACAATAATGGAATCAGACAGAACAGTTCATGATGACACATTAACAGTTCATAAAAAAAACAAAAGTAGCAATCATACTACTAGTAACACTAATTGAAAAACATACCCAACATAATAAACATACTTATAGGTAAAAATACGACTACGGCTAAGTCCTGGCAACAGGCACCGAAAGTTCAAGATGCTAGTTTGTCTTCAGGCAGCCTTCGACAGCGCCCAGTCTTCGGCGCTGGAAGATGTGGAGGTTTGAAGAGCAGGGGGAAGTCCATGGTTTAGCAGCTTAGGGGGTAGAGTTGATAGAGCTTACGGAAGTTTAAGGTTTTAGAGTTTGGGGTTCAGGGTTTTGGGGAAGGGTTAAAGTTTGGGGTTTAGGGCTTAAGAGTCTAAGGGTTTGAGGCTCAAGGCTTCAGGGGCTTGGGGCTGAAGTGTTTGAAGGTTTATAGTAAACCCCAAAAAGTTGGAAACCTGATTAAGGGCAATTAGTGCTGGGATTCCCTTTACATTACTCGTAAGGGTTGAGGCGATTGGGTTTAGGGTTTAGGGTTTCCAGCTTTTGGGCTTCTACTGTAGGGTGCCAAGCGTCCAAGAACAGGAACGCAACCAGTTCCACTCTGAGTGAAGGGGCACCTTCTACCATACATTCCAACGGGAAGTCTTAGTCGTAGAGTGGGTAAACCGTTCTCCTTTTTCGGGGAACTGTAACCCCTCCGAGATCCCAAAGGCAAACCTCCCTAAACCCTAAACCCTTAAACCCTAAACCCTTTAGTTCACCGGATACTGGACAAGCAAGGTGAAGCCAAGGGAAGGCGTAAGACAAAAGGAAGGGGTTGTCAGGGAAGGAGAATCCGGATAAAGGGTTTTGGCAAAGAATCTAGCGTCATAGCCCGGAATCTGCGAGGCAAGCTACATTCATACTTAAACCCTAAAATACAAACCACCCAGACCTCTGGGATGACTCCAAAAAGGCAGCCGTTTGATACATTACACTGCCTTATCGCATCTAATGGTAGGATGCCTTTTGAGGATTATCTGGGGTCTGGGCAGGCTGCTGTGCATTCAAGCTTAAAAACTCCTGATAAACCCGTACAAAGCCCTCTAAAACCTTGCATTAGAACCCCCGTACCCCATTTGTTGGGGTTCAGGACCCCAAACTCTAATCCCAAACCTTAAACCCTAAAACCCTAAACCCTAAAACCCTAAACCCTAAAACCTAAAACCCCAAAACCCTAAACCCTAGACCCTAAACCCAATAAACCCTAAACCCCTTTTGAAGCAACTGCCTTTGCCCCACCCTGCCCAGTGCGTCAAAGCTGCGGGCGCTGCCGCGGCCGCAGCCGGTCGCTGGGCTTTGGAGTACCATACTTTAATACTTTTTTGGGGACCTGTTCCTTAAAGGAGGTATTATGACCCTAAACCCTAAACCCTACACCCTTTCTCCCTGCTTACTTCAAAGCCGAGGTCGTGCTGCCGGGGTGGCAGCCGAGGAGCAGGCGAGGTGTAAAAACGCCTTCCTTTTTGGGTTTAGGGTTGAGGGTTTAGGGTTTTGGGTTCCTTCCTTTTTGGGGTTTAGGGTTTTGGGGTTTAGTTTAGGGTTTGGGGTTTCGGGTTTAGGGTTTTTGGGGTTTTGGGTTGAGGGTTTGGGGTTGAGGGTTGAGGGTTGAGGGTTGAGGGTTGAGGGTTGAGGGTTGAGGGTTTAGGGTTTAGGGTTCAGGGTTACTCACAACTGGGAAAAGCCGGTTCAGGGTTAGTTGA